GAGTCTAACTTGTTTTTTTCCACAGGCTGGTGTATATGATGAATACCTTTTTCTTTGTTCAGATACCGAAAAATCAACAGACTTTGAGTCAGTCGGAAAAGATGAGAGCTTGTAGATACTCAAATGAGTTGCTAATACAGCATAAATATTTTATCTGTTTATCAAACTAAAAAAAAAAAAAAAAGTACCACTGTGGTCACTCTTAATAGTGTTAAAAAATGTTTCCCCTAGATTCAGCTGAATTCATGTTCATGCTTTCTGAAGTGAATGAATTTAACATTCCTTGTAACTATAATGTTGTTGCTTCTCTTACAGTTCTGCCTATGATAACGTCAACAAAGTTCGAGTTGCTATAAAAAAAATCAGTCCTTTTGAGCATCAGACATATTGCCAGAGAACTCTGAGAGAGATTAAGATTCTGCTGCGCTTCAGGCATGAGAATATTATTGGAATAAATGATATTATCAGAGCTCCGACTATTGAACAAATGAAAGATGTGTATCCTTTTAAAGTCTGAGTTGATTTTCCTAATTAGTGATGGGTGCTTTCTCCTTCCCTGTTCTGCATGTTTTCCCCTTTCCATTTTCCTCTTTACTAAATTTTAATCAAAGCTCATCTCCTATTACTGTGAATTGAAAGAGAAGTTTAAAGAGTCCCTGATTTGATACCTAGATGAACACAAGTTTTGTTTGTTCTTTTTCTAGTTAAAAAAAATATGTTCTTTTCTATTTTCCAGAGTAAAGGACTCAGAGCTACACCTAGTTAACCAGAAGACTATACCTAAGACCTAGATCACTAGGAGACTGTACCTAGGCCCTGTTCAGATTTGGCCACCAAGTCTGTATGCATGGTTTCCTGTTGGTTTCCTTAGGTCTCTGCAGCGCCTGTACAATAGAAAAAAAAAATAGACACATGGAGGCAGAAATAGAATTTACTGAATCTAGGTCAAATGTTTTCACTTAGTAAATTAGCAATATATTGTTTGAGTTGAGTCAGTCTTATGTGGGAGTCTGAGGTTTCTTTTCCATGGCCGATCTGCACACTGCCTTGAAAGGACGTCGTCGCAGCCTGTTCCAGTCCGTGCCCAGCTGGGATGGCAATAACGGTGTTTTCCAGTGAAGCCCTGCCTATTTCAGTGAAAAGTGATAATGGAACTACAATCCAAGAGTTAACTTGTTCCTAATAGAGCAGAAAAAAACCTCTGTTCTTCTTGTTTATCCCAACCTTGGGAGAAATCATCTGACTGAAAATATTAGGGTTTAATTGTGGTAAACAAAGGGCTATTTGTTTCCAGTGTAGCATGAATACAGTAAAGCAGAAAAACAGCTGAATTTTGGGACTGGAGAGGTGACAAAGAGACTGTTTAGTTTCTCATTCTTTGGTATGCTACTGGTAGCAAGTATCTTAGCTATATCTATCTTTTATATATGTATATCTCTTATATATATCTTATAACTCATTAAACTAAACTAGTCTTTATTTATTGACAAGATGGATAGGTATCTGATCAAATGAAGATTCTCAGAAAACTCAAATTCTGACACAGAGGAAGAGAGTTTTAGGATGACTAATTTTAGGAGACTGTGCACCAGTGCTTCTTAATTCTGTAAAGGGCTGCAGGATTGATTAGGTTCAAAACTTGCAAAGTGAGAAACGCTTTCATAGTTTCATGGTTGTAATGAAACAGACAAGAGACAAAAATTAGATGATAAAAGTTTCATCGTGTAGTGTGTGTTGATTTCTGACATGAGACTTGGTTTGTTTTGCTGCCTTACATCGGACACCCTACAGATACATTGTGCAAGATCTCATGGAGACAGATCTTTACAAGCTCTTAAAGACTCAGCACCTCAGCAATGACCACATTTGTTACTTCCTCTACCAGATTCTGAGAGGGTTAAAATATATCCATTCAGCCAATGTGCTTCATCGTGACCTCAAACCTTCGAATTTGCTGCTTAACACCACTTGTGATCTCAAGGTTAGTTGAAGTTTCTTAAAATTTTGCTCCTATAATGTCTTTAAAAACTATGTGCTATAATCACTGACGTTATTTGGTTCCTGGGGGTTAATGGGATTCTTCCTTATACTGATAAGATTGCAAAAATTTTATTGATTTTCATGAAAATCTTCAAGTTTGAATGATCAAGAACTCCTGCAAATGTATTTTGATGAGTGCTCCAGTGTTTCTGTCTGGAGGCTGACTTAAAGAGCGTTGTTGGAAGCTAGGTACAAATATATATATAAAACTGAATAATTTGTACCTAGAAAGTAAACTCAAAACTTTGTGTATTTCAAGACTTGGTTTCTCTGTGTTTAAACTAGTAGTTTGTTCAGTGGAACAAATTGGGAAAGGACTTTGTATCAGCGGACAAGTAAAATGGCATGTGATACTCAGTGCTGATTAAATGCAGTTACTGGAGACGGGTCACTCATTTACATTATCAGTGATGGGCTCTGTGCCAGTTAATACACAAAAATGATCCTAGAGCGATTATGATTCTTGGAAAATATCAGTATTTAGTTGTGTTCAGTGGAAAAAAGCAAGTATAAAGAATTAGAACAGAAAGAGAAAAAAAACAGAAAATGTGCCATGTTGTAACTTTCTGCTGTTCTTGAATCTAAGGATTTGTGATCATATTTGATATCCTTTTAAAATGAGGGGACCAGGGCTTGAAAGAACTTCTTTCCATACAAGGAAGAGTTATTCATCCTAGGTCTCTTCAGCTGGAAAACGTTTCAATGAGGAAAGATTGCCAGAGAAAATGATAAAACTGTGTAAGGAAGGTGAATAGATAATTTTTACTGTCTATACCCGTAAAAGAAATAATTGCTGACAAATGAAAGTAGCAGTTGCTCAGAGCAAAAGGACATATTTGACTTCCAGCATTGCTGAGCTTGGCACTTGGTATCACCAAGCACTGCAGGTACTAAGATAATGTGACTTCACGAGTCACATTGGGTTAATAAAGTCACTGGTTGAGTTAATAGAAGAAAAAGCTGTTAAATACAAAGGTTCCACCTCTGATTCATAGGCTGGTAGTGGCAAATCCGTGATAGATTGGAGCGAGTACTAGAGAAGCATTGGAATATGTTCCCTTTTACCCCTTAAGTATTGGCTGTTGGCCACAGCTGGAGAAAGGCAAATGAACTTAGTGACTGTGATCTGACATGGTACAGCTGTTTGATACCTGCTCACCTAATTGCACCTAATTGAACTTTGCTTTTCATAGTCTAGTATGCTTTTTTCTTAAAAAAAAAAAAAAAGTCTTAATGTAAATCAGCTGAAAGTTTGTCACAGTTCCAAGGAAAATTCTTACTGTCCACCATCCATCCTAAATACTGGCTATGCAGTTTGCTTCGTTCCCTCTTACACTTGCCAGGTTCACGGAATGCACAGTCCTGCTGGCCTTGTCACCTCTGATGCTTCCTGGGGGGTTTTAGCAGCTGGTCTGTTGACACTGCAGATCCCCCCAAGACATTAACCCCTTCATGAAAATAGGATAAAATATACAACTTTTGCATAAAGGAAGCAGGAAAGCACAGTTGGCTTGTAGTTCTGTATATGTGCATTTAAAGAACAAAAGGTAATTTTTTTTTTAACACTAGCAAAGTAGTCACAAAAAGGAAGCTGATCTTGCTAGATGTTTAGTGAAAGACCTTAGTGAATATTGTTCAAATTTCTAAGATTTTATAAATAGCATGCTTTAGACCATGCCACTGCAATGTATGCTTTTCCAGTGGAGAGTGTGAACATTTCCATGCCAGCGCACAAGCCTTTTCTAACTTAAAGGGAGCTCTGGTACTGTGCTCTAATACCACGTCTAATCTTTAAACAAAAGAATTGGAGAGAGCTAGTGCATGTTAGGCCTTTCTGATGAATGCTGTACTTGTACCAGCTTGCTGCTTTTAGGGCAGTTCTGCCAGTCTGTGAGACTGCCACATACATGTATGTACTTAAAAAAAACCGATTGTCGTACGTAAATTCAGAACGTGTGAAATACTGTGAAAATGAAAAACTTGAAGGAAAAAATTCACACTTTCAGAGGAGTGAAAGTAGAAAGCTTGTTCATCGTCAGCAGTAATGGTGTTTTGAGATGTCTTCTGGAGCCCAGTGTCCTATAAGTTGTAACAGGAACTTCTCCTTTCCATACTCTTGGCCTCTGGATTGTAAATTCCACTTCCAGGAAAGAAATACATTTGTCTGTATTGACGCAATTTCCTTGAAACCTTTAGATTGTTGTGATCAGCTCGGAGGTTAGTGGCAGAAGTGCAGAGCCTAAAGCTGTTCCTTTTTGGCTTTAAGGCCTCATTTAAATGTAACTTTTGCAAACTTTCAACTACTATGTGACAAGTCCAGAGAACATAATCTGATTTTAACTGCTATTCCTTTTATGTCTTAGTCACAGATTAAGTTTAAGAGTTTATGAAAACTAGTACCACTAGTTCCACTTCCCTTTCCTGAGAGACTTTGGCAGAGTGGTGACCTCCAGGTTTTCATCTGTTCAGCCCTCTTCATGGTTCTGTCGAAGCCACAGCCAAAAGCCGCTCTTTCCTTCAGCCTCCAGCTGGGTGCCTTTCTCACTAAGGAGAATGATTCTTCGTTTCTGCTTAACCTGTTTCTGCTCAAGTCAACAGGGACTTTGTCATTTTATTGGGACCTACTTTTCAGTAAAAAGCTTCTTTGCCATTACATATTCCACTTCTTTCTGCTTGGGTTGAGAGATTCAAGGGCATCTTTAGATCAGTTCTTTCTCCTTACTGTGGACTGGAGAGAATCTGTCCTCTGTCTTCGTTATAACCAATTGTAGCCTTTTGCTGATTATTTTATTTTATTTTTTTTAGGGTAAAGGAAGAGGTTGCAACAATTCTATCTGCATGATTATTTTCTGAAGTCCCTAATGCTGCTCTTTACAGCTTCTCGCCCTCTCTTTACAGGAAACTCATCTGATTATTTGTGCTGGTTCTCCTTATGTAAGCTGCTAATTGCAAATGAGGCAGCTGTCTCTGCAGCCTGGGAAAACCTTGACATTTTTAAATGGATTCTTTTAGTTATTTGCTTTTTTTAAGGACTTGCGAAGGGTAGAGGTGTATGTAGCTAAAGTCAAAGGAGTCCTTTCTATGCAGGCTGGTTTGAGTTTCATCATTATCTTTTCTTCAGTTCCTCTTGTAGCATTTGACTGCTAAATCCTGACTTTCAGATGTATCTCTTACTCAGCTGAATCACTTCTTTAACAGGTCTCTCAACTGAACTAGGTTTTACTGGCTATCCCTCAAGGAACTTGAAGGAACAGGTGGCTGGATACAACAATATTTATTTATTTTTATTTATTTATTTATGGTGGGGGGAAGTAATATATAGTACAATTTTTATTGATTACACCATATTACTATTTCCCAATCTTTAATACATGCAATATTCACAATTAACTATCTAACTATTACAAAATGTGTATAGGAGGAACATCTTAACTGATTGTCAAGCAAACTTTTTTTTTTTTTCCTGAGAGGAGATACCATTTTGTTATTAACTTTGTTTTGAAATTGATCATTATCTTAGACTGGTGCTTGGCAGTAAAAACATATGGATGTGGCTAACGTATCCCTCAACAAGTTTGCTGTTTATCAATAGGACAATAGAAAGCAGCAGTTGCTGTATTTAGGAAAACTATTTTTCTTCACATTTTCAGATTTAAGAGATCCTCTCTGGGGAGAGGGCACTAGTCAAATCTTAAGAGCCTTTTCCATTAAATCTCTCTGCCGTCTTACTATGGGATATTCAAAACCAATTTCTCCCTTGTGCTGGACTTCCTAATCTAGGTTATACTCCCATCCTTCCACATGTTTGGATGGAATTACCTTTCTGCTACAGGGCTGAGAAATGTTGTGGTGGGGGAATACTTTATTTTTTATCTTTAAGACTCTCAGTTCCTCTGGCAGTCTGTGATTTCTCTAGTCCCCCATTATCTCATGATTGGGCAGGATGTTTCTTTTGCACAGATACACGGTTGTTACATTAGCAATAGCTTTCATAAAAAAGAGTATTAAACTGTGCTAGGAATGTGTTGGTAGTTTCTGTTTTCTGGCAATCGTAATCCCGTTCTCTGCGCTTGTTCTGGTAAGTTTCTAATAACAAGCTGGAGCAGTACGTGTTACCACCTACCTAGCAGAGAGGGTGTTATGTAAGCTGCTAGCAGAAAACAAACTATTCACCAGGAACATTTTTCTTTCCCATAATGTTTGTTCTTCTGCTGGGCCTAATCACAAACTTTTTATACCTGCTTCCAAAACACTCTTCATTACCTTTGTGCAATAATCTGTTTCTACAAATGCAGGTTAATGTTACTATGTTTGTGTGCCATGTCATACATTGGGAAAGGTGACTTGGTTAATGTTTGCTTTAGCACTGGAAGCTGTATTTCTAATATGTTCTTTTTTAATTTAAAACCAGATTTGTGACTTTGGACTGGCTCGTGTTGCAGATCCGGATCACGATCACACAGGATTCTTAACAGAATATGTAGCCACACGTTGGTACAGGGCTCCTGAAATCATGCTGAATTCCAAGGTAAGAACCATAGCGCATTTCTGTGGTTTCGTTTACTTACGAGTACCAAATTTTGCGCTTTTTTCCCTCCTGTGTTGTTGGGATCAGGATTCATGCATAGTCCTGAGAAAACCTAGTAATGGATTTGCTGTCTAGGTACTGACTTCCTATAAATGTGCGATTCCAGGTGTAATTACTAGATCATACAACTGGGCACACGTGTGTGAGTGCTCTAGTGCTCAGTCCTTGTCATTGATGAATCTTCTTTCCATCAACTTGCCTTTGATAGAGCAGGGTGCAAGTACTAGTAATGACAGTATTTTATGACTGTCTTCATCAAGATTTGCAAATGCTGTCTTAGTTTTATCTTGACATCTTTGTTTAGGTGTTGAATGTATGATGAGGGTAAGTAATTTCAAGGCATATGATCTTTGCTGTACATCAATCGCAATTGCTTTTCCACAATCTTAATCAAATCATCTCTTTGTATTTTATACTTAAGTTTTTCACAGTTTCTTCTGTGGCTGTGTTAAGGTGTATCTGATTCCTGTGCAAATCCTTCATAACTTTTTGTCAGAGTCCAAACCACTCTGACCAGGTGCTTTTAGATATTTCACCCATTGCTGAGTCTGGTTTGTTAAGGCCATACTCTGTTTCGTGCACTTTAGAAAATAGTCATGTAATGAAGTGGGTGTGTCTTATTTATTTATTTATTTAAGTCTTCTTGTATTTCAAAGTCGCTTTGAAGCCATAAAACATAGGATAACCTAATTCAACTGGATTTCTGGATATCCATGTATGTTTATCAGATTTTACAAGAAAATGTTTTGTATATGCTTCTTAAGAAGTGGTGAAATTGCTATGTTGCAGATCTATAACCTGCAATTTTAGAATTACAGTGCTTTGTAAAGAGTGAGGTAATCACGTTGTGAGAAGGTGATGCCGAGGTGGCTGTGGGTTCAGCAAAATCACTGTCTTTTGCTGGAAGATAGTGCTGGAAGGGCAGCAGGCTATGGGAGAACAGGGCAAAGGGAGTTCTTGGGCTGAGGACTCTTGAAGTGACCTTGCAGAAGCACCGGCGTAATTGTACTGCTGCTGAATCCAACCCTTCTCTTGGATAACACAGGTTATATGCATGAAAATAGTGTAATTTGTTCCATTCTTGTTATATCATGTAGATCTTGTTTCCTACTGTTAGACTTCCCACATAATCTTGGCTACTTACCCGTTGTGTTTTACAAGCCAATGAACCAACAATCTGTTTTGACCTTCCTTCCTGATGATGAAGGCTTCTTATCTGTGTCTTGTGTCACGTTTAGGACATTTAATCTTAGGAAGGAGGACTGCATCTTTTCATGGTATGCACATGTGTATTTAATGTGCTGTTTGGAACTGTGGGATTAATAGGTATATAAAGGATTAGCTTGTTTCCAAAATTTACTAGTATAAACTGACTATAAAATTAGGGAGCCTTTGAGCTGCCTTTATTAAGTTGGTATAGTTAAACATGAGACAATCCTTTTTGGAACAGCACATGCTGCATATTTCAGTTCTTGTTACCCCTTCTAAGTAGTGCTTTTGATATACAGTTCTTAATTATTCTTTACTGTACCAGAAAAATTAAACAACATGAGTAAGTATGATTCATCTACTCTTGTAAAATGAATTGCACAAGTGCACTTTTGAAATTTAGTTAAGTAACATGTTACTGTAAATATGCAAAATTATCCTTGAGCAAATTTTTTTTTTCTTTTTACTTGCAGGGTTATACAAAGTCTATTGACATCTGGTCAGTAGGCTGTATTCTGGCAGAGATGCTCTCTAACAGACCTATCTTCCCAGGAAAACACTACCTTGACCAACTTAACCATATCCTTGGTAAGCTTAATATAACCAGAGCATTTCCATGTCCACCTGTTCTCCCCATCTCTACCAACTAGCCTAGTCTTGGTCACTCGTTTATTTCTCGTTTGATCCTATATCCTTTCTTTTATGCTATACAAGTATATGTAATATCTTTTAAGAATATATGACATACGGATTTGCAGGCACGTTATCTGTTCCCGGTAGGTATTTCTGCAGGGAATTTTGTGATAGCTTTTTGATTTGAGGGAAAGCTAAAAGATACCTGCCGGTTTATATACATCAACAGAGATGCAAAAAACCCTCAAATATACAAATAGATCCAAGTTAATTTATTCATTTATGTATTTTTACAGCTAAGCAACATATACCCTTGAAACGTTTTAAGTGATGTACTGATAATTAGACAAATTTAAATGCATTTGTCTGCTCACCAGAAAAAATAACTTGACCATTTTTAGTAAATATTTCTAAAAAGGCCTAAGATATACTCTAATTCTAAAATAAGGTGAAGTTTTCCTGGTAGTTTTAGTACTGAGACTTATAGGATCTGATGTGACTATTTTAATGCAATTTTCATAGGAATGTGGCATTTTGTTTGTTTTAGGTATACTTGGATCCCCTTCCCAAGAAGATTTGAATTGTATAATAAATTTAAAGGCCAGAAACTTTTCCCTACCAAAAAAAAATAAGGTACCATGGAACAGGCTGTTTCCAAATGCTGACCCCAAAGGTATTATTTTATGTTCTCTTACGTTGTATCAGAGCTTTAACAATGGAAGTGAGCACTAAAAGTAATAGCGGAATGGGATTCAAAACCACCTTAATCATCTAGCATTATCTATGGCAGAAATAAAACATTCCAGACCCTTGAAATGCCTGTATGCATCCATTATGAAAGCTTGAATCAGCATGAAGCTGTTCCTACCAGCTTATCCCTTGTTAAATGAATTTGAATAAGCTAGAATTGCATGTTTTGGTGTTCTGAGCTTTATCTTCCATGTAAAACATGGAAATCAGCTTTTGGTATCATCTTCCAAAGAATGATACCTTACTCAGGTGCTGAGTGTTGGAACTGGGTTTTGGCACAGGCACTGAACAAATTATGAACCCAACTTCTGGAAACAGAAGATAGCTTCTTAATTAGAACTCAGTTTGCAGTCTGTCTGCTCCATACCAGATTTGATAAAACTCTTCAAAATGTGGGCTCTTAATTAGTACAATATGCTAAATTCTAAAGTCTTAAAAATATTCCATTCATGATAATTATAACTAAACTTGTAACAGCAAAGTGCAAAAGAATTATCTTTCTTTGCAATTCCTTGCTAGAGGTTAGATGTATCATGGTTTTGCTATGTAACTATTGTCTTTTAAATTCCACTTCCCGCAGTTTAAGCGTTGCTGTGCAACTCTGACACAATCAGTAAGTCACATAAAAAGTTTTTGAACTAATATAATAATTTATGCTCCGTGAATACGATCAGGTACTGAACTGCTTTCTGCACAAGGAATTGCGTAAAGCTGATTATTCTTATCATTGATATGTTCTTTGGAAAGCAGTGATTTATTCAGCTTTCATAATGGTGCTCATCACTGCAAATTTTCTGATGTTGGCATTTGACAGCTCAAATTGTAGCAGTGCTGATGTACTTGGCTGCTAGGGGAACATACAGTTTGTGTGACTTCATCTATGCCTTCAGATTAGCTTTGAAAGAGCAGTGTGGCAAAAAGCTGTTTGCCAACATTTCAGTGAAAAGTGCTGTGCACAAAGTGCCTTAGCGTGGTGTCAACGTGCAAGTTTTCAGTGTTGAGAAAACTGTATAAACAAATTTAATTGTGGTGTAGCGTAAGGTTGTTTTTTGTTTTACTGCCTTTAAATTCGATGGTAAATTTTTGTCTCTTAGATTCTTTGTATCCATCCAGGCATCTTATTCTGACGCAAAGCTACAGCTACTTTGGTGCAACGAGTGCAATGGGAACCTTTATTTTTTTATTTTTATTTTTATATTGTGAATCATGTGCTGAGAAGAAATGGAATAGAACTCATGATACTGCAGATATGTGGGACTCTCTTTCCTGCTTTTTGTCCTTTCCTTTCTGTTTTCTTTTTCTGGAAATGAAAACCTGTCACAAGGAATGCTGATACCCTTGGCAGAGGAAGATGCTCTGCCTAGGCTACAAGAAACATTCTCTTGCTTCAATGACTGCTACCACAGCAGGGGAACTGCAAAGACTTAAATTTAAATTAACCTAAATTTAGGGTACTCTGTCTTTTCTAAGAGCATATATTTTCTGTGTAATATGAACAATTGTAACTTTTTCGTGCATTACAATTTGGAGCATATATTAAAGTCTTGTATATTTTTTTTCCTCTTAGCGCTTGATTTGTTGGATAAAATGTTGACCTTTAATCCTCATAAGCGAATTGAAGTGGAGCAAGCTTTAGCCCATCCATATCTGGAGCAGTATTATGATCCAAGTGATGAGGTAAAGACAGCATTACAATGTATATGTTAAGGGCAATGTTTTTACAGCTGTAATAGAGTTAAAAAAAAAAAATTATCAGGTGCGAACTATAAAAGATCAACTGATCAAAATTTTTAGGAATGTGATCACATAGCATGTGTAATCATCATCACTACATGAGACAGTATTTGCTTAGTGTTTCCCTGTGGAAATTCAAAATGCTGTATTAGCCAATAAACTTCAAAATAATACTTCATTATGTGTAAAAAAGATGTGTAATTAAGTTCTCCCTCTTGAGAATAAGAAACTAAAGAACTGTGCTCTATATACTTGATAATTGTGCTGTTTCTTTATAGGTGTCTCTAAAGAAATTTTGTAGTGTTAATTTTTCATAGAAAATGTTAAACTTTGCTTCATATTTTTAAAATAGATTTATGCCAGTGAGTACACAGGTGAATATACTACCAAGAAGGTAGCCACAGATTTGTTAGAAAGTTTCTTCTAAACCATAATTTGTATTCAACAGGTTTTACAGCATAGGTATAGGAAAAGTAGACTTTAATGGGTCATTATTTAGTCAAGTGCTTATGAGTTAACTATATTTATTACCCTTTTAAAGGAACGTCGGTATCTGTTCCCAGATACCTGTTCCCAGCAATGAGATTCCAAACATGTAGGATTTTGTTTCATTTTTCTCTTTAACAGTGAATCAGTTAAATGCTAGATTTTGCTGTTTTACTAGATTTTTGTCTGTTTTTGCATTCCTAAGTTTTCTTCCAATTTAGAAAGGCTTGCGTATATATCTGTTATCTAATGGTAGTTCAAATACTTATTTTAAATAATCAAATCATAACATTTGTTTGACTTTACTCCCAGCTTGAAACCTATCTTCTGTTTTTTATTTTATTTTTTGTTATAATATTGCATTTTGGAGGAATAATACAAAATGAGTAAATGCTAAAGAATGCCCTCCTGGATATCAGATTTTTAATGTATTTTGATTTTGTTTTATAGTGACCAAAATAAGGGAGGAAAGTAACTGAGCTTGCCATCAGATTATCCATTTAGAAAGAAAACTAAAAATGCTGAACTTGTTTTAGTTTAATATAATGCTGATAAGATTTCAGATTACTTTGGTGCAAAAATAGAGGAGGAGGAAATAAGGATGACTTCTGAGACCAAAAAAAAAAAAAAGAGATTAAAATGTTTCAGATCGCTTTTCTTCAGGTGCTTACTAAGTTGCACACCTCTGTTTAAGCAAGTATTTTAACATTTTTTGTGTATGAGTGTCTATATACTGCAGGTTGATTTTAAAATTTGGTCAACAAATGTACAAAGCACAAAAGGGGATAAGAGAATGGGCTTCCTGAGGAATGTACAGTAGTAGATCATTTTTAGCTTATTCTTTTTTTTATGCACATACTACTTGAAATTCAAGAGTGCAGTAATCCTAGGAGAAGTACTAATGTGTTTTTGTATTATTAAGCCTGTAGCTGAAGCACCCTTCAAGTTTGACATGGAGTTGGATGACTTGCCGAAGGAAAAGCTGAAAGAACTGATTTTTGAGGAAACTGCTAGATTCCAGCCAGGATATCGATCTTAGATTGTGCATAGGTAAAGTCACAAGAATAAGAAACCGTATAGATGGGGAAGAATTTTGCAGCTTTGTGGTTGCCAGTAGTGTAACCTACCATTTTTCTTATAAAAAGGTTGTGCTTATCATTTGACCTGTCCTGTTCTGTTATTGAGGAAATGGGTTTAATTTTCTCTGCAATAGTAAAGTGCCTATAGGGAATACAGGCAATTCTGAGATATTTGCCTAGATTTTAGATTACATTTAAGGAATGACCGCTACATTAAATACTGTCTCTCAGAATAAAAGCTATGAAGCACTTTGAAATGCCAGTATTATTCAAAAGACTATATAAGGGGACAAAGATAAAATATTATAGAATCTCTTGTTGCATGGCTTCAAATGCTTGTTTTAAAAATACTTAAGTGTAATGTAAAGAGGGGAATTTACTAAGAAAACAAACAACAACAACAACAACAACAAAAAAAAACAGTATAACCAAAAGCTTCAGTTTTAGATACTTTCGAAAAATCCCTTTAAAACATATTGGCTGGTTTCCAGTGTCTCTGACAATTGTATTTTAAATCAATTAAATATCTATAAAGAATATTACTAAAGAATAAGGAAAGAATATTTAAGCACATCTTTATATCTTACATTAATCAATGGAATATATATGACAGATAAACTTAACTGCTCTTCATATACTGCCAGCCTTGCAAGTCAGTAATTTTGTACAAAGTTTGTCAAAATTGATGTGATGATTTCTGTGATACTTGTGAACTTCCACGATACCAATATATTAAAGCATCTCTGAAGACGGCCTCGTGTAGGTTGCCTTGGTTATGGTCTTAAAAATAGTTGCTGTGCTGTTCCCAGCCCCCGGCAGCGTTCTGCAAGCACCGTCTCCTGCCGGCAGCCTCAGCAGAAAGGCTGAATTTTGAGCCTCTGAACATCCCCCTGCAGGGAGGTCTGTGGCAGGGGCAGGCAGCTCTTATCACAGCTTTGTTGCTTTGCTTGAGTTGATATTTTTTCTGCACTGAAAATGGGATTTGAATTTTTGGATTGCTTTTAGCCCTCTTCCTTTTATTTAGTGTTGGCATGTGGGCTGGAAGTTGAGGAAACTTTTGGAAATAAAATTTTTGCTTAAATGGGGTAATATTTGGTGTCACTTGTGTTAGCATTGAAATGTATAGATGCTTACAGTTGAAGTTACTTTGAATATTAAAAATACTGTATTTTGTTTGTTAAACTTGGTAACACTTGAAACTATCTTTAATAATTATGCTTCAGGTGAATCTGAGGTTAATCCATCTGGCTGTTTTTATTCTTTGGCCTTTGCCAATAGAATTACACCAGGGGTACAGCAAGATGGATGGTGCTTATTTTCCTTCCATTCTTTCTAATATTAATTATGCTTAAGAAGCACTGGCAATACATATATGCTCCTGGAAGAAAATGATGTGACTTTTTAGCAGGAAGGTGAAGGCTATTTTCAATAGGCCATAGCATCCAGGAAGGAGAGTGAACAGTTAATGTGGTAAATTCCAGGATATGGTTTCTACCTGCTGCTTTGCCCAGTCCATATTTACTAGGTTGTATTAGGAATTAAGGAGTAAAAAGATTAGGCATAAAGATATCAATGACCCAGTGCTAAGGAAATTTCTGATCTGCTAAAGATGTTACCTTTAAATGCCTCTATGATGAGCTGATTTGGTTGATATACTGAAGGGTAGCTATTTTTATTTAGCTTAATAATGATATGCTAATAATTTGTAGTTAACACTTACCGTGAAGGCCAGTCACCAGCAGCTGGCTTACAATGCCAAGGCTAAGGAGCTCTTTTAGTATTTTTGGTAAATGTGTTAGGGTTGCCTTCTGAAACCTATTGTAGATGTAGTATATATAAAGCATACAGATAGAAAAGAGTGTTTATTTTCAGAGACTGTTAAAATTTCCTTTACTGAAACATGTCCCTCCTCTTTTTTTATAGGACAAGGACTTAAAGGACTGGGCATGCTCAAACGTTGCTGTTCCTCTTCCCAGTTCTTTATCGTTGGTCATGTCTTGTGGCCTCTCTCAGCTTATCCACTAACTCCTTTGAGCCATTCAGGAGGGCAGTTTCTGGTAGTTTTGGCTTTTCATGCTTTCAATGAATCTTTTAAGCCTGAAGAATTGTAATTGACACTCCTATGCGTAATGCCCATTGTAGCCCTGTTGCAGTACTGTACTGTAAGTGCACCTACTGCTGGCCGTATTTTAACTGCTTGCTTTCTGGTTTGAAAGATGCAGTGGTTCCTTTCACTCCTGGATCAGTAACCAAGAAGAAAATTCATTAACCTGTAAGAAGTTTACACCATGAACTATGCTTTTTTTCGTTTGTTTTCTGACTTTACTGAAGTCGCTGGCATTTTTTTTATTTTATTATTATTACTTTTTTCTTTCTTTTTTTTTTTTTCTTTTCTTAATTCTGTGTGTTTTTTTTTTTTTTTTTTTTTTTTTTTTTTTTTTTTTTTTTTTTTTTTTTTTTTTTTTTTTTTTTAGAAAAGCTACTATTCAGGGCACTTTAAGTCAGTGACATCCCAGATTTTTTTGCACTTCCTTTTTAAATAGAAATGGTAAGCATCCAGTGGAATTTATACCATTATGCTATGGATTACAGCATAAGTTGTGTTCATGTTAATCTTGCTTATGCACTTGTTTGGGTGTCCTGTGCTGTATGAACAGGTATTCTGTACAGTGAAATAGCCACATAGGAACCCAACTTAATTGAATTCATCTAAGGAACATTATTTCATGTATACACAAAATTTGTACCTTTTCTCCCTGCCTTTTCTAAAAGACCATTTAAAGTCTAACCATGTTGGAGGTGTAGTACTTCCAAAATTCATACCATGTAGTAGTGTTTATAAGACTTGTGCAAAGAGAATGAATGGCAGCTTGCCAGCTTATATTTATTCACTGTGTGGTGGAAGATTAACAAAGACATAATGGCATGATGACCTAATGGTGAATGCTTTCCTCTGTGGAAGGCATCCATATGTGGTGGTAAGCGAGAAACCAAAATATGATGTTAATAAACTCAGTCTACATACTGCATACCAATGAAATGTTTCAAATGAGGATGATTATTTTTTTACATTTGAATCTAATCACTGACATTCAGAGTACTTGCAGAGAGGAACACTGCATCTTTAAATGAGAAAGTTTGAATTATTTTTGCTCCTACAGCATGTCAGCATCTCAAGTTCATTTCTTGCAACCTACACTATGGTGATTTGTAATCCAGCCTCCATGAGCTCGTGACATGAAGTACTGTTCTGTTGTCAAGTACTATCAAACTTTTCTGATAATGCTGAGTTAGGACAACCAAACAAAGCTAGCACTAAATAACGTTTAAAATTGTATACCTTTTAATGATCTTTTCAAGTATTTGTTACTGAAATTGTATAATGTGGAGTTTACTAGGTGTTATGTTCCAGTGCAGTGCCTCCTTTTCTTTCCCCACTGCTCTCTGTGGTGAAAAATTTGCCTTGTTTAAAATAATTACTGTGCCCTCGCATGACTGTTAAAGCTTTCTGTGCAAAGATGATTGTCTAAGTGCCACATGCCTATGATTGAGAAAAAAAAAAATCTATTGTTACCTCTGAGTTGTGTTCAACTGAAATGCTATTCAACAGATAACTTAGGAAAATAGTTCTATTTTTAGCTTTTCATATCTCTGCTGTCTCTTTCTCATTTTATTTTGGCAGCAGTGAAGAATGGATTGTATAAAGACTGCTTGCTAATATGAACAAAATGCACTTGTAATTCCTGGAAATAAATTTAAATCTTATATCTTCACAGTAACATTAAGAATTAGTTTTTGGTTTCCTCTTGGGTAATGTGTTTGAATGGAAATCAGGTTCAATTGCTACTGTAGTATACAAGGATGCTTGCTGGTTAATAACTCCAGGCTTCCTCATACCACTTAGTCTGCTTTTCCAAGAAATCTAGAAAGCCATTAACTTAGACTTCAATAGATAAGGGTGCTTACAAGACTCCATTTCAAAGCTTTCCTTTTCTTAGAGTTTAAGTGTTAGTCTGCCAAAATTAATTTTTAATACGCAAGGGTTCACCTTTAAAGGGCATTTTCTATTAGGAAGTTCCTGTGGTATATAAATCTCTGTTGTGTAGAACATATTAGGAACATTGGCAGGACGCTGCACAATGATCAGTGAATTGTGGTATGGAACCTATGCTAAAATCATTTCTATAGAAATATGCACTTGACTGTTGATACTAGTGTAGAAATTTCTCTTGACGTTTCTGCACATCCTTACCAAAATGTTTTTTCTCAGTTTTGAAAAGTTGAACTATTTCTAGAGTCTCTGCTGCTTGTATGATCATCGTGACTACGGGAATAAATCTGGCATGGTTGGAAAGATGACTGTTACTGAAAAATCAGCGTGTGACACTTCAGTTTTCATTTATTAAGGAAGAACTTCGGCAGCTTAATTCATCCTTCACTTTCCCCATTCATTTTTAATATTTGCTTTAATTGTGCATTCTGGGGGAGGTGTAGACTTACCCTTAAATTCCCTCCCTTGCAGTGAGGAGCCAAGGGTTTGCTTTACCTAACATCTGGTGCTTTGGGGTTTCTTCCTTAGCCGTTACTACTGAATCCAATTGGCATCCATCAGCATCAGTAACTGCCTTCATCAGCTTTTACTGAACTCAGTAGCACTGTTCAGTTCAATTTGTTGTGGCATTAAATGCAGAAGCATGATCTTCTTTGTCAGATTTGGAAAACAATTTAAAAGAAGGTGCCTATAATAACACTGTGTTATGTCAATTATTTCATAATTTTACCTTTTTTCTTTAGTCTATACTCGCAGAGCAGAGAGCTGAAACTCAGAAGAAGTGACATGCATATTTCGTGATAGAGATGTTTTGGGAGTAAGGAATGTAAACAGTTGGCTGTCAAAAAACATTCCAACATTGTATTTAAAAAAAATATGCAAGCGTATAAAATTCTCATGGATGCTTTGGCAAATGATCCTATTCTGCTCTTGCCTGTCACCATAATCTTCCTCCTCAGTGTTACACGTAAGATCTGAAGTGTGCAGCGTGCGGCACGGGCCGAGTGGTGTGGCACACTGTGAGCTTGCAGGAGTAGCAGCTGATCACACGACGGAGCAGTGGCCAGATAAAACCCAAGGAATTTAGCCTGGCTTTCCTTACAGAACAGAAAAAAAGAAAAACCTGTCATTGCTGCCCACTGGAATATGCTATGATATATTTATACCATGTCAAAGTTGTTTGCTGAGCAACTGTACTATAGATTTAAACTTTATTAATATATATTTGCTTATGTTAGCATAGTTTGTATAGTCCTTTGTTATTGATAAATTTATTGTGTTGTTACAGCACAGCGATATGGTATAAATATAGGTGTATACATACTCACAATATATACATGAATTTGGTCCCTTGCATAGTACTTTTATATTTGTACAGCAATGTCTTCAAGCAATCCCAGATTTTGCGGGAAATATTTTTGTAAATGCAGTGGTCTAAACAAAAATTCCAGACAGTCCTTTTACTAGGTTTTAAATACATTTGTGCTTACAATGGTTTAGTTGACAATTGAATTTAAGACACTAAATTAGTGAAAAGTGCACATTAGTAAAGTGAAGCTTACAAATGATTTTTGTAGCATGTGCTGTGATCAAACTAAGTGAAGCATTGGAGGAAATGTAAAAGTTGGACTACCTTGTAAATCTAGAACAAATTTGGAAAGGTTGCAGCTGGTTTACTTACTATTGTTGCCTTTTCTTGTGTTGTATCAGTGTAGAGCACTCTTAAAATACTCAAACTGCTTTGTCTTTGCTTTGTACTGTTGGTGCCTTCTTAGTCATGTACCCCAGAAGTCTTGCATAGCTAATTTAGTTAATGGTAAGTTTAAAATAAGAAAGCAAAGGAAGATTTTATATTAAAAAAAAGACAAAATCAAAAAAAAAAACCTGTATGTTCTTATTCATTGTAACAATTAAACGTTTATATCGTGACAGATTTGTGATTTGGTTAATCTGTATAGAACAATTGTAAGTAGCAAAGGTTTATATTTCGTCTGTTCTTTTAATGTTGTAAACATATGTGATTTTCTTTTTTAAATCAGGTAACTTAATGTTCTGTTTTGTTTTTGGCATCTGAATCTTGTAAAAACAAATGCAAAGAAAATCATTAAATTGTGTCCCTGTATTACCAAATCAGCATAGTACTGTGCATGTATAGAATGACTGGAACTTTGCTCTAAAGTAACTACTGTTCTTAAAAAAAAAAAAGAAAAAAAATACACTGATGTGAATTACATTAATTTTTAAACTGCCTATCACTTGAATCTTGCAGTAGTGAGTAGGCTATATTAATATTCTTAAATACACCAGTATGTTTATTCCAGTTTTTGAGATGCCAGCTGGAAATCAGAATGGGGGAACCAATCAAAAAAAAAAAAAAAAGTAGTTTCTTTATAGACAGGCAAAAATATTGTATCTTCCTGGCAAGAAAGTTAGGAAGTCGTCAGCATTTTGAACTGTTGAGCACAGTAATGCAAATGGTTTTTAGCGTATCTGATGATCCCCACTCTCTTGATATTCTTTATACTGACGTTTGTAGAGCTGTAGCCCAGGTCCCAGAAAATCTTAAATACTTGAGCAATCCTCTAAGACCAAATATTTGTGTTTTCCACAACAAAAGATTCACCTTGGGCCAAGATTTGAAGCATTTCTGGCAGCAATGCAAGTAAGCTTACAATGCTCTATGCTTTTTCTTTTTCTTTTTGTTTTTTATTCTTTTGAATGATTGGTTAACCTAAAGTCAGACTGCCGAAGAACTGAGCTTTAAAAAGGGTATCTTTTTAAGGGCAGTTTCTCTAATGAATGTGAAAACATAGGGAATATGATCTGAAACTAAGGAAAGTTTGGCAGGAACTGGCAGATGTGTAACAGCTCTTTGAAAAGTTACAGTTCTTCATTCCCTGTTCTCTGTGGCTTCCACTCCAGAGTATGTTTCTCCTGCCTTTAAAAAACTGCAGGATTTAGTTTTGCCATAGATGAGTGTTTCCCTGCTCTTCCTTTGTCACCGCTGGTCTCTGCCTCCCGTTTTCTTTGTTCCTGTTAGCAGGACCTGGCACCGCAGGTACTGGTTCCTCTGAGGTGTTGCTGAACTACAGCTCCTTTCCACGGAGGTTTTGACAAGCTCATGATCGACGTGATACTCCTGTAATGCTCTTAAGTGGGCTTAGTTGAGATACCATGCAGAATTCCAGCGTGGACCAGCACCAGAATGGGGCACTGGTCCTTCCTATCCGTAAGCTTTAAGTGTAATGGGCAATCCTAAACTCCTGGAGGCAAACTCTGGAGATGGGCACCTGAGAC